GAAAAAATGGGTAGAGAACATGTGGCTGGAAATAAAACTCTGGCAAGGATAAGGACCAGCGAGTCATGTGTTTGCTGGGTGGTCTCAGGCAAGTCACTGAACCTGGATAGATCTGAAAAAGAGATTAGAATGTATGTATAGGGTTGGTCACATGGCTACATGGTACCTAGGTTGTGCGGCAGTATGCATAGAAAGGTGTCTAACTCCCTGGAGAAACTTGTCTCAGAAACAGGGTTGCTCCAGCAACGTGTTTTATTACCCCAGCTGTATGTTACAATGTTGGGATTTCCACCTGGATGATAACCATGTTGTGTGCAAGGGATTATGATCTGCTAGCCGTGGAATAATTGGTGGTGTCTATTCTAGACTCAGGCTGAATGCAAGCCCTTTGGTCTCTACATCATTATTTTATTTTCTACCTCTATCTAGATGCCAATGATGGACCAGTTTCTGGATGGATATAATTTGTTTCTTCAGATTCTTCTGCTTCCTTTGTGTGGTGTCTCTGGGTGTCCTGTGATGCTGATATTTCAATGATGGGCAAGCATGTACATTCTTTGACACAACTTGAAAGTATCTGGGTCAAGAGATCTGGTCTCACCCACACATGGAGGCTTAATGAGATGCTGATGCTTAGATAAGTCAAAGCACAGGCCCCTGGATTCTGAAAGGCCATGATACAACTGGCAAAGGGTCAAGCCCCTTTACCATCCTTTATCTATACACATGGAATACCTCTATTACAGCCATAGGAAGGCAGGCAGAATGACAGTCTTCAGTGATCTGGAAGCACCCCCATACAGGTAGATACTTAATAAGAATCCTCAATAAAAGTCACATTTTCTTTCCAAAATGTCATTTCTCAAGTTCAGTCAAGCCTATGGTCAGTTAGCGCAGTTAAGCCAAGAACAGGCCAAGTGAATATAGCCAGGAGAGGCTCAGTTATATCCTTATATACAGTACAGTAGCTAGAGTGGTTAGCTGTAGGGTTGCTCTTATTTCTGGGACCATGGGCTGATTAGGAGCTCCAATGAATTGGTCCAAATATAGTGGCAGAGGGAAGCCTGCAAAGGACATATGTAAACATCTCAGGGAAATATTTCCTTCAAACCAACAACAATGACAAAAGCCTGGTTGAGCCACTTCTTACCTTCAGAAAAATGGCATAGCGTTGTTTCCTTTCTCTACATATTTTTTATGTTTCTTAGTGCTCAGCGTCTGTTCTTTTGCTGAGTTTTCTAATGTGATGATTTCCATTAGGTTTATACTACAAACATAATGTGAATGAGATTTTCAGATCAATTCCTTTACTCTGTTGTAATGTTGTCAAAAGTTGAACACTCCTTGTGTCCCCAAATCTCTCTAAATTTCCCACTTTACTTACTGGACTCTGGGCTCTTGAAAACATCAATTCTGTCTCTGTTTTTGCACCCCTGGCATGTGCTATGGTAACTGTACTAAATCAGCATTTAATAAGTGTTTCTTGAGACAGTGAAGTACCAGATACCTAATGAGATCTTGATAAAGGAGACCAAAAGAAATGAATCATCATTCATCCCTTTATTCAACATATATCTAGTGGAAGATACAGCAATTTTTTAAAAGTCTCTGCCTTTAAGATATTTACATTCTGTGAAACAGTGTGATCCACTACTGGGGCACCTTGCATTCATGGGATTTTGTTGTATATAAGCAGGGGATGGAGGGTGGATGAGAGACAGGCTTTTTGCTTTGTATGTATGATGTAGACATTATTTTTCCTCCACTCAAGGAAAAGTTGATGGCTTCTTTGGAGGTAGAGAAGGAACAACAAAAAGAGTATTAACAAAGAAACCCCAAACATTTGCGGGGGTGGAATTTGAGTTAAAATTATTCCTTTCATCCCATCCTAAAGAGCAAGTGATGTTGTAGAATCGTTTATAGGAGAAAAAGTATGAGCTCTGGTTTCCATATTTAGACACTTTCCTTCTTACCCAGACCATTTCCTCTTGTTTCCTCGAGTCTCAGTTTCTATGTCTGAAAATCAGGGAAAATAACTTCTCAGACATTTTACAGGACAGCTGTGAGACTGAGGAAGGAGAGCAAAGAATATAAGCCCTTCATTAGGTTTTAGGACATAGAATAATAGATAACTCTTCCCTGAGCCCCACCTATAGATAGCCACTGTTCCAAGTCCTTTACAGCATCAAACTTCACTGCAAAATTGGCAATACTACTACCTTTGAGAAAAATGGAGTCCAATTTGCTCAAAGTCATCCAGCTGGGAAATAAGGGATGGGGTCAGAATGAGGAAGCAGGCAGCCCGACACTACAGACACTGGTCTCAGTGCTAGGCTGTACTTCCTCCATGGAGAGCATGTGTACTCTCTCTCCTATGCTGCACCAATTGCTGAATATGGTGGAAGCACAAAATCTTTTCAAGGTTGGTTCTCTATAGACTTTCTCATCTTCCTGACATTTTAGAACATGTTCATCTGCCATGAAACAAAGTCTGGATGGAAAAACTGGGGGCCTGAGAAGCAGCCTCTGTGACAGTTTCATGCCTGGGAATGTAATGGCTTGTGGGTCCTTCTAGCTCTTGGAATGAAGAGCAACTGATCTCACTCCTTCCTGTCAATGATGGCATTCAACTCCAAGATCCAGAAATCAGTGCTTATGTCCCAAACACAAAAACCTCTATTGTAAGGAGCTCATTGGCACTTGCCTATGCACTTAATTGTGGAAAAAGATATAGAGGCAGACCTATTCACTCACATACATAGCATGACATACAACAACCATACAGGTACAGAAACTTCCCAAAAGAAATTGATACATCTCTCTACATTGATAGATTAGCGATAGAGACAGAGATAGAGGTAAGATGGAGATGGTGATGGAAATGGAGATGGAGATAGACTAATACATATTGGGGTAAATGTCCCATTTGCCTTTAAGGATCAAGGACAAGGATATTTATTTAGTCATAGTTCTGAAGTTAGAGGATAAAAGCCAAATTGTTGAAAACTTGGGCTACTTCTGATATATTCTTTTGCTTCCATGTTTTGGAATGCACTCTTGGCTTTTTAGCAATTCCTTAAATTGCTTCCCTTTCTTGATGAAACCACACTGTAGTATGTCAACAAAGGATTGCAAATTCCTCCTCAAAAGGGCATCAGGGTGAAGCTCAGGGGATAAGGAACCACATAGACCCAGATGACTAAAGCAAAAATTATGCACACACAAAAGCAGTGTAAAATCCTTAAGGTACCAGTAAAAAATAAAATAGCCAGAACAGTCCTGCTTGAGACCATTGGAAATGATGTATCACATCATGGGCCCTTTTTTGCTGACTTTGATTCTTTTGGTATTATAATTTTCAATACCTGGATTTATGTCATGTCCAATTCTCAATGAGTTAGCTGCATACTAATTGGCATGCGTTGGACTGGGGGATAATTCAGTGTTCCTGAGATGAATTGAGAGACTGAAAAGGAAAAAATCTTTCAAGACTAGGAAGAAGGATCAAAGGTAGGTAAGGATTAGGAAGGGAACTTCCTGATCCTTCTGCCTTAGGAATAATATCACATTGACACTTGGGTCTGGGAGGAAACTGAGGCCACGTGAGGGAGAGGTTAGAGAGGAAAGAACTGCTGTTTTTAAATGTTATCTTTATCCCAAGTGCTTATATATACATACATACATTGATGCAAGTTTGAATTTCGTAAGCACCTGAGGTGAATACTACCTCCATTTATACAGATGGGGAAGTAGGCAAAATATATGTAAAACCTATTATTTGAGATTACATATTTGGTAAGTGCCATTTCTGGAACCCAGATACCTCAATTCCATCCTCCTTTACTTATCCAAATTCTCCCTCCCTGGGGGAAAACTGGGGACCCGCCTAGACTGAGAATTTCTTAGAGTGGAAGCCATCTTGTGGGGGTTCTTTACTTGAAGTTGTGTTAAACACCGAGGTCAAGGGGACAGAAACAGCAGAGAGTAAAGGTGGAAACAAAGGTCAGATAGAGGCGCCACGGCAGCTCTCTAGCCCTGAGAAGGGTCAGGCACAGGGACAGAAGCCAGAGTAAACACAGGGGCTGGAGAAGCAAACTGAGGCATATGGGGACTATGGGTGAAGGGAAAGGAGGAGAGTGTTCTTGGGTAGATATTTGGGAAGATGCTTTGGCCAAAGTGGGCTTTCATATGACCTTCAGCATGATGTGAGGCAAGGTCATCCGTGTTTAAAATTCCAGAGTTTGGTTCTTTTTTGTTTGTTTTTGATAATTTACTCATTTCATTGAATTCCCACCCTTTTCAGGGTCATGCAAAGATATAAGTTCTCAGGGGTGAAGTTCCAAGGGACTTTATCACTCAGCTAGCAGCTTGCCTAATAGTATGCAGGATCAGATATCGAGCTGTAACTATTCAGCTATAGATACCAGCTTCCTGTGTTTGGAAAAGGTAAGGAAATTGTTCATTCATTCTACAAATACTTGTGGAGGATGCAAAAATGGAACAGCGCCATCATGGAAGTTCAGATAAAATGCTGGGGGAGTTTAGAGGAGGAAGCTGGCATTTGAGCTGGGACCAAAATCCACCCTAACTCTTGTGTGTGTGTGCAAGTGCATGCTTTCAATGCCTTCTTGTAGGAATGACGTTTGCATTAATCCCACTGTATTACAATTATCCAGTTACTTGTCTGCCTCTCCAGTCAAACTGAAAGCTTTTAAAGGGCAAAGACTGAAGCTTGTTCATCAGGGAACGTATACTACTCATAGTAGCAGTATACATTTTGAAAATCTTTGCTAAATTTTAATTGATTTTAAATTAATGATCAGACCCAGAGTTTAAAAAACCTGACTCCAATTACAAAACCCAGTCCTAAGATTTGCAATGCATAATCCAGTGCTCTCCCTATAAAACAACAGGGCTGTGACATTACCCTCCTGAGCAGAGCTTACAGCGTGGTTTTCCTGAATTTCCCACAAAATCAAAAACAGTGTCACAGACCTGGGAAAACTCGACAAATATTTTATCAGAATAATCAAATGATTTGACTTACAGCAAAACACAAATCAGTGTGACTTCAGAAAGAATTTTCTTCATATCCTGGTCATTTTTATTCATCATATATAATCCCTAGCAAAGAAATAGAGGACACACCTACTGTATGACATGGGGTTTCACATTAGCTTGATTTGACAAAGACACAAATAATGCACAGACCATCTGTGCATGAGAACCAGATGTCTCATTTGCATTTGGGTTTTTCCAGTAGAAATGAATGTGGAGGGCTTAAGAAATGCGTTAAATTTATTTTAATTGACATAGACATAGAATGTTGAAACAAATTATTTTCCAAGCATCAAATGCAAAGGTCAGTGTGTGCACTTGAAGGAGTATAAATAACAAGGAAGAAGGGTAAGGCAGCTGAAGCCTGCATTGGAAGCATCTGGAGGATACAAAAGCTGTAAGGAGATAGATATTAGAGGCACAGATAAACACCCAACTATAATTAAGATTGCTTGAGACCATCTCATGTACCAGCTGTTCAAAAGGCAACTTCTGCATTCATTATTTCTTTAATTATCGTAGCATCCATATAAGCAACTAATGAAACCCCATTTTGCAGATTTAAAAAACAAAGGCATAGAGACACAAGGAGGTTAAGCTGGCTTGCCTATGCAGCCACAACTAGCAAGTCTCTACATCAGGAATCAAATCCACGACTTGTGGCTTACTGATCAGTGCTCTACAGCAGACAAGGCAGGGAGGAACAGGCAGGTTCCCTGGTGTCAAAAGCAAGACTCCAGATTAGTCTGCAAAACCAGCCTAACCGGCAAGAAGCACCAAGGTGGACTTAATTACAAGGTCTACCTAAGAGAGGAGTCCAGGACTCACATGTATCAAGTCCTTGAGGCCTTTTAGGTAAAACCTGAACCTAGAACCTTGGCAGGGCAGAGATATTACTGTGGCTGTAAAGTGTTGATGTGGTTTTATCCTTTGGAGTCCTGGTCATTTTGGTTCAGTACAAATGGTGAGTCAGAAGCAGAGATTTTGAAACAGCGAAGAAGAGTCAAGCTTTAAGGAAAACTCAAATGGTCTATTTTATCCTGTTATGTTCCAGTTTTAGAATGAATACACACTTCTGCTAGCTCAGAGTTTGAGCCCCCTTGAACAGAAAGAGTTAATGCCTTTGGGATTAGCTGGGAAGCTGGGTTGGTTAGGCTATGGAAAAAAAAAAAAAAAGGCAGCATTTAGTTCATTGAAACAGAGAAGGGGGCTGTGGGTCACTGTTGTTCAGCACCAAGACTAGGAAATGGTTTATTGTACAACATTCAATAAGCATTTTCTTTGAAGGAAGTGGGCTGTAAATGTGTCAAATGACAGTTATTGATTGGTCTCTGGGGAGAGGAGATGTGTTGAATTGTGTTACTTGATAAATTGACTTAGGAATTAAATGTAAACTTCTACTCAGAATCACATGGACCTAGAGCAGGTCTTAATTCTATTCCAATAATGCTCTATTGAGAATGGTATTCCTTAATATTTGTGTGGTTCTTTATGAATTTTCCAAGATATGTTTATACTTATCATTCTTGAATTTCTTTATGCTTGTGTTTAATTAAACTAAATTTGGCCCGAGAATGATGCTATACTTTGATTCCTTATTTAACAACTGCAACCTAATTGAGTACAGAAACTAACTGAAAACCAACCTTAGGAGTATACTTTTATAACAAACAGCTGAGTCTTGGCTCATCACAGCAGCTAAACTTCAATCAATCACCGATCAGATCTTGTTCAAACGGCAAAAACCAAGCTATAACCAATCAAGCTGTTTCTGTGCCTCACTTCAATTTTCATAAATGCTGCCTGCCCATACTGTAAAAGGGAACTCTCTTAACCTCTTCTGGTTCTGAAAGCTGCCCAATTAGTGAGTAGTTCTTTGCTCAATTAAATTCTGCTAAATTTAATTTGACCTACTTTCTATTTGAACAGTTGGGAAAAGCAAAGTATTATTCTCTCTCCCTTTAAAAAAATTTTTTTTAGAGATGGGGCTTGCTCTGTTGCCCAAGTTGGAATGCAGTAGCATGATCATAGCTCACCGTAACCTTGAACTTCTGGGTTTAAGTGATCCTCCTACCTAACCCTCCCAAGTATCTGGGACTACAGGCTCATGCTACCATGCCTATCTCCCTTTCATTTTAGATAAAAGAGCAGTGGTCCAAGCCAGGCACCTTGGCTCATACCTGTAATCCCAGTACTTTGGGAGGCCAAGGAGGATGGATCATCTGAGGTCAGGAGTTCGAGACCAGCCTAACCAACATGGTGAAACCCTGTCTCTATTAAAAATACAAAAATTATCCAGGTGTGGTGGTGCCTGCCTGTAGTGCCAGCCACTGAGGAAGCCGAGGCAGATGAATTGCCTGAACTGGGGAGGTGGAGGTTGCAGTGAGCTGAGATTATGCCACTGGACTCCAGCCTGGGTGACAGGGCAAAACTCTATCTAAAAAAAAAGAAAAAAGGCAGTGTTACAGACGGAAGAATGAATTACCAACATGAGCAGCATGAGGCTACTGCTGATGGTGATAATAATAATAAGAGTAACATAATTTGTTGAGCACCTCATACTCAGTGCCAAGCATTGTGCTAAGCACCTGATAAATATTATCTCATTTAATTGTCATCTCAGTTCTATGATATAGGTACAATTATGATCTCCATTTGAATAAGAAAAATCTGAAGTTTACAAAGGTGAAGAATCCTACTCAAGGCCAAGCAGGAAATGGCAGAGCTGGGATTTGAGACCCTGCAGTCTAGTTTCAGACTTACACTTCCAACCACTGTGTTCTAGCTTCCCTTTCCCTCTCTCCTCCTGCTCCTATTTAGCTCCCTCTCTACTGTGTCCCACCTAGTAGTTTAACAAGTCACCTGATTCCAAGAAAGTTGGGTAACATAGGGCTGTTGATTATAAATGATGATGGGTGTAAAATCCAAGACATGGTAGTTAGCACATTGTAGGTACTCAGAACAATTGCTAAGCTGTATGTAAATGTATGAAAAACGACGTTACCTTTCTTAGCATCAGGATTTCTTTTAGGGAAAGGATTTTAGGTTGTTGGAAGATAACTTTGATTGTTGGTTTAGGGATTAGGGGACTATGTCCAGCTGGCAGTTAAGCAACCCTACTTCATTCTATGGAAGATGGTTCCATTTACTTTTGGGGCTTTGTTTGCTGAGAGGGGTATGCAAGTTTTCAGTGAACTCAATTACTTCAGATCATGGGAAGGAAATTGAGGGAAGGGAGAATCTAAGCACCACTAGAAAGAGAATTTGGAGAGAAGTGAGCATAATATCTAAAAGGGGATTCTTATTTAATATTTTGCTGTGTGGCATGGAAAATAGACTCTGTCCTGCATCTCCCACGAATCTACAATGTAGTCCTCAGTGCCCATTGATGATTTGTAGAAGGTATGATCTTTCTGAAGAAGTGAGGTTTCCTAGTTTGAGGAAAGTGTAGGAGATGAAAGTCTAGAGTTTTACTCCACAAAAAGCTGAAAAGTGCCTGGTGCAAGACCAAATATGGAGCAGGCATGGAAGAAAACCAAAAACAAAATTACTCTCTCTATTGTCATTATAACCAATGGTACCTTGATATCTAATGGAATAATAAAAGACACAACAAAAGAGCGGAAACACTAGTTCTGCTGTTCATTAATCAATTCATTATTCAATCATAAGACTGAGGCAAAAGCTGCTGCCTCTAGAGATGAGAAAGGCCAAGAAGGAGATGCTGGTTCTTACTTGATGTTTGAAGCGTATTGTAATTCATGATAAAACCTGAAGAACAAATTCGATCACATCTCACTATTCACTGCTTCCCTAATTAAGCTTTGATACCTTACAGCAAAGTTTGTCTGCAATTACATTTCAATTTTAAACATGTACATGTATACATTATGGCATACATGTATATAAGATGTGTATATTACAGAATTGAATACTGACATATATCCGTGTCTACATTTATACACATACACACACACATATGTATATGTCATCTAATGGCTGGTCAAACAGCATGGAAGAATGAGCACCCTTACCAGCCAGGGAAAGTATCTGCTATTGCTTCTTTTTAATCTAATCATCATATAGTATTTGCTATGGGACCAGTAAGCTTTATGTGTGCTAATCTATTTAATCCTCAAAATAACTCTATGAGGTAGATGCTATTATTCTCCCTACTTTACTCACGAGAAAATTGAAGCACAGAAAGATTAATGACTTGCCCAAGGTTATACAGTGAGCAAACAGACAGTGGAGCCTGTTGACAGCAGTATCTGTTCTTGACGGATGTTCTGGGAGTGCTACCAATATGCCAAGAAGAAGTATGAAGCAGGATGATACAATTCATACATTTTTCCCAGCCTCGAGGTGTCTCCTAGGAAATGGCTGAGGAAGGAGAGGATAAAGATAGGCAGACAATTGTGGGTTGAGTGAAAATCCCGTTATAAGGGCGGTCATAAACCTCACTGTAGCCTCAGAGGAGGGACCAACAAGCCAATGTACCATAGCTAGAAGAAACAATTGAGGCATGTCATGACTTCAGGGAATTTGAAGAAAAAAATGAGAGCATGCAGGTGCAGGATGTCTGGAACACCGATTCAAAGGCATTATGATAGACCCACCTGGAAGAAGTGCTGATTTGGTTTTCACTGTCGTTTCCTGGAACCCACTTCCCAGACCCCAAAGGGACACATGTAATGTGCCTTTTTCAACTTGAGTGGCACAAGAAAGCAGCCAACAGGCTTTGCAGGGACATGCCCTATTCCTTCCGGCTCCAACACCCACAGCAGCAGAGATATGGAATTCTGCATAGAGAACCCAATCCAGTTCACAAGGGTAACTTGTTGCAGAGTAAGAAAACAAACGACTTGTTGGTAATGTGCTAAGCTCATGTTGATGGACATGCTTAACCTGCACTGTCCTTCTCCAAGGATACATTTCTCCTGGGGTAACATGACATCTTTATTCTGACAGAATGTCCTGAGTGGGAGATGAAGACAAACTACAGTCCTCTAGCTGACGCTTATTTGAAACTGACTGCCTCTTCATTTGAACAAGAACTCCAATTCTTTTTTCCCTTGAACCAATGATGCAAGGGAAATTTCTGTAATTTGAATATTATTTTATCATTTAATGGACACAGGCTTATCCCTCTCCTGATTTATGTCTGAAGATCCTCTTGGGATCCTTTAAGAATATGCAGAAAAGATACATGTTTTATGTGTGATCTAAGTGTGAACCGAGAAGGATATCAAAAAATAAAATGGTAGAAAAATAACAACAACATCACTATCTTTTGGCTAATGTATTTCTATGCTAATCAACTGAACTGAATTTGGAATAGACACTGAATTCAATGAAAGAGCACATCTAGCTATCCAATGTACACACTCATAAAAATATTACTCTGGAACTGGGGCCAGTGTTTTCTAGGCACTGCTAAGGAGAATTAGCTGCATGACCGTGGGCTTTTCTGAATAAGTTTCCTACTATATAAAATTGAAGACAGTAATACTGAGTTAGCAGAAATATTCTAATTACTATGATTGCAGTGTGAACCACATGCATAGCATCTTATCTGAACTTCTCTTGTGTCATAATCATTTTACTCTTATAAGGATTAGTGGTTTTGTATGTACCATCTCCTGTTTAGGCCAAAAAAACCTAATAACTTAAGTTTGCTGAGTGGTTCATAGACATTAAATGGATTGATCCTCATAGCAATCCTGGTAGATAGGACAAGTAAACATTATTTTATTTTAGAAACAAGGACATGAAGCCCCAGGAGATTTCAATGATTTTCCTAAGCTCATGCAGCTAGAATGTGGTATAAGGTAACACATGTCTGGCACTTCTGATTTATAGAAGCCAAGTCCCCAGGTGGAATGCTGGCTAGATAGGAAGGGCATCAACTTTTAGTAACATAGAACAATTATTTCATCATTGGTCCATTTCCTTTTCCACCACCACTCTCAGGGCCTAGCACCATCCTGCATGTATATGAGGCTTTTCACAGAGATTAGCTGAATTCTTTCAGTGGATGCACTCATTCATTCATTCAATATTTATTAAATATCTATATGCCAGGCACTCTGTTAGGTACTAAGATACTATGATAAACATGACTGACTTGATTGTGCCTTCAAAGGAGCTTATAATGTAGTGAGAGAAAGAAAAAGGAAGGAAGGGAGGGATAGAGGGAGGGAGGAAATAAGGAAGGGAGGGAAAGAGAAAGGGAGAGAGGGAGGAAGAAAGGGAGGGAGACAAACTGGTCATGAATAAACAGTCTTTATTTTTCAATCTGGATAAAAAGACAACAGTTTGGTCCAGCCTGGGTAATTCTCCTTAGTGGTGCCCAGAAAGTACTTGGCCCCCAGCTCAGAGTCATATTTTTATTAATACTGTGAAGATTTCCTAAAGGTGGCTTGTTGCAGGGTTTCTGGATTGCTGGGGAGGAAATGTGAAGGTGTGTCCAGTGTGGCTATGGAAGGTCACATAATGAATTGCAGTGAAATCGTGGGAAGCTTGCTAGCCTCATCTTCTGTGACTTCTCTTTGTCTAGATGAGAGAAGTGTTTATTTAGGAATGTTCTCTCTGCCCTTGGCTTGGAAACAAGTCATTAATTTTATAATTCCCATAGAAGGCTTCAACTTTAGTGCGTTTTCTCTTCGATACAAATTCATGGACACTCTCTGAAAATCAGCCCTGAATTCACACCAGTGTTTCCAATACATTTCGGTTACATAACGTTTAACAATTTTGAATCATAATTTTTTGACACAGTGATTTCATCCAATAGCAAGGCAAAGGAAATAACATGTTTGAGCTCCTGCCTTACAGCGGGTTCTCTACCCTCTACTGTTTTATCCTTGGCCCAGGTCATAGCAACCCTCAGTAAATAAATGTTTAATGAATGTATGAATACATGCTGTTAGGGAAACAGTGTGACTCTACTTATTTTACTTAAATTATCAAAGGTACCAATCAGAAAATTACTTTCCTACATGTCATGAAAATATTCGTAAAAGAATAAAATCGACATCTTCTTCATGCAGAATGTGCCTTTAAAAGTACTGAGTTTAAGTATTTTTTTTAAAAATAAAGTTAGTCTTTTTAAAAAAAAAATTGTCAGAGAATAGACACTGACAGGCCAGGCATGGTGGCTCACACCTGTAATCTCAGCACTGTAATTCACAAATTTTGTCTCTGACATCTCCAGCCAGCAAATACTGATTGAGAACCCACAAGTATAAGTGATTTGTATTTTTGTAAAACTTATGGTTCCCAAAGCAATTATTTATACATACTCCTATTTGATCCTCTCTGATTGTTTACTATAAGAAGTTTGACATTGGATTTGCACAGCTCAAATATAAAAGTGAAAACAACATTCAGCACTTGCTTTTGGGGTTTTGGACCCTCCGATCTGCTTCATTCTACTTCCTTTCTACCTGATATAACTCTTTCCCTTTTTAAAAATCTTAATACTTCAGAGAAATCCTCTTTTCGCCTAGGGATTCCCAAATTCAAATTGTGGTTCATCCTTAGCAGCATTGAACTCCTAACTATACCTGGAGGGAATATTACAAATCCCTTTGCACTGATGCCAAGCCACAAATTTATCTGCTTTCTGTATTCATATTGAAGTGAACATAAAGCCATAGACTGATGCCATACCAGGCTGTGCTGTCGGTGAACCCCCTAAAAAATATACCAACAAAGATACAACAGAACAACAAAATCAGGCTTGGTCTTTTCTCCAACAATAATTTCAAAATCTCTGGGTAACTGGTTCTTTTCAGCTTCTTTCTTTTTTCTCCCCAATTAAAAAAAATGTCTTTTTGTGCCACACTCTTAATGTTTTATTTTTATTGTATTTCCTTTTTTAAATAGTTTATTGCATGTTTGCATTTTTTAAAACACTTTGGTATATTCAATAAATGTTTATTAAAGAAGAAATGTTATTTGGGTCCATTAAATAAGTGTTTATTCTTTACACCTTGAGCATCTGGGGGGAACAAAATAGAAACTGCCTTGTCCTTTTGGAGTTTATACTCCAAGGGCTCTGGTAGAATCCATATGTTTTAAATGCTGTTATTTCCAGAGAGGTTGTATCTACACATGTTGTGGCTGGACAAACATATGTCTTTCCTATCCCTGTCCTTTATTTACAAACCACTTCTTTGTTGTCTGATATAGGCAATGACTACTCCATTATGAAGACCATATGGGGAATGGAACTTTCTCTCTTGCCCTTTGTGGTTGTAGTTTCTTTTCCTGCCAATTGAGCATAGAAATGCTAGTAACATGGCATCAATTTATATTCATATTTTCTCACTCAATTATATTTTGGGTTTTTTGTGTATTTATACCTTTATTGCAAAAGGAATTTGGTAGTTTTCAAAGACACAATAAAATATGCTCAAGTCATTTCATTAGTCCATTCTCACACTGGTATGAGGAACTATCTGAAACTGGGTCACTCATGAAGAAAAAAGTTTAATTGATTCAGTTCTGCAGGTTGTACAGGGAGCATAGCTGGGAAGCTTCAGAAAATTTACCATCATGGAGGAAGGGGAATGGGAAGCAAGCACTTCTTACTGTGGTGGAGCAGGAGAGACAGCGCAAAGGGGGAAGTGCTACACACTTAATCAGATCTCGTGAGAACTCACTATCATGAGAACAGCAAGGGGAAAATCCACCCTCATAATACAATCACCCCCCACCAGGACCCTCCCCCAACATTGGGAATTACAATTTGACATGAGATTTGGGTGGGGACACAGAGCCAAATCATACCAATCATTAACATCAAGTAAAATACAGCAGTCAGGTACAAACCCAAGGCTTAGAAAATTTGAGAATACTGATCACAGAACTTTTCTCCTAGTTCCCGTTAGTATGATGACATCATCAAAAAATTTTTTTGCAGAAGACCTTGAAACACCAAATCCTTTACCTGGTCCTAACCTTTATGGAAAACTTTTTACTTTTTTTTTTTTTCTTTTTCTGTATTATTCTTTTCTCCCTGTCTCCTTTGACATGCTTGATAGTTTCTAAGAAGTTTCTCAACAAAAGAGACTTTTCCTGACCTTTCGGGAACATTCCTGTGTTATTCTTTAGGATCCTTCTTATGTTACTCAGTCTTTACAGCCTATGATAGTCACTGTGTATTTTCAGTCACATTTGGTATCTAATATTCTTGGTGGAAAGAGCCATGCTTTGGAGACATAGAGAACTGGGTTCAATTCTAGGTCTGTTTCTGATAATAACTGTGTCCTTGGGTAAAGCACTTCCCTTCTGAGTTGCCTTCTTTACTCATAAAATTGGGTTAATGGCATCTTACAGGCTGAACTTGGAGTTCAGACAGCATATTGGTGGCAAGGAGATTAATGATCCTTACCCAAATATTTCCACATCCTAATCCCCAGAATTTATAAATATGTTAGGTTTCATGGCAAGGGAGAATTAAAGTTATTGAGGATGCTAATCAGTTGACCTTGAGACAAAAGATTACCCTGGATTGCCTGGGTGGACCTAATGGAATGACAAGGGTCCTTATAAGTGGAAGAGGGATACAGAACTGTCAGTGTCAGAGTGGTGCAATGTGAGAAAGACTGAACTGATCTTTACTGGCTCTGAAAATGGAAGGAGACCATGAAGCAATAAATACAGGTAGCCTCTAGAAACTGGAAAAGGGAAGGAAATGAATTCTGCCCTAGAGCCTGCAGAAAGGAATGCATTCCTGACAACACCCTGAGTTTAGCCCGCTTGAGCCCATTTGGGATTTCTGACCTCAAGGACCATAAGATCATACTTGTGTATTGTTTTGAACCACTTCATTTATGGTAATTTGTTACAGAAGCAATAGGAAACTGTGGTAGGCAGAATAATGTCCATGTCCCAAAGGTGTCCACATGTCAATCCCTGGAAACTACAGATATGCCAGCTTAGATAGCAAAAGGGACTTTGCAAATGTGATTACATTGAGGATCTTAAGTGGGAGAAATTCCTCTGTATCATTTGATAAAGATATTGTTAACAGCAGAGATCCTCATAAAAGGGTGGCAGAAGGGTCAGAGTCAGAGAAGGAGATGCAACAATGGAAGCAGAAGTCAGGGTAATGTGGGGTCACGAGCCAAGAAACACATGCAGCTTTGAGAAGTTGGAAAAGGCAAGAGAACAGATTTCCCCCTGAAGCCTCCAGAAAGGAACACAGCCTGCCAACACCTTGATTTTAGCCCAAGGAGACCCGTCTTGGACTTCTGACCTCCAGAACTGTAAAATAATAAATTCATGTTATTTTAAGGCAGCTTATGAGTTTATAAGTTTGTGAGTTTATAAATGTGCCAACACACTTTAAAAAAAATAAAAGGAAAGGAAAACCGTGAGAAAAGAAACTCAAAGAATTTCCTGAAATACTGTACTATATACAACCAAGCAACTGGCACATTTATAAACTCAACAAACTTATAAACTCACAAATAATTATCAATTATTTGTGATAACTTTGGAAAATTTATTAACAGCAGCAATAGGAAACAATACAATATATGCTCCCCTTTCTTAAGTAGTGCCCTTAGCCCTCCTTGTTACATCAAGCTTGTTCATCTTTTCTCCTTAGACCATTGAATTCTGTGATCTAAAATCTGCTTCATAAATATATACAAATATGTATCAATAGAACATTTTTAAGTAATAAAATATAAAAATTAACAAACAAGAGCTTAGAGGAAAAATCTGTTCTGGCAACCCTCTGAAAGGCACTGCTCCCTGGGAGGTCAAGAAACCCCAGGGACCAGTCTCTCCTCACTGACAATCCAGTCATGGTTTTCACATCTGGAGCTGTGGGCTCTGCTCTTAATCACGTTTATTATTTGAGGACTCCATCTTTGTCATTCTCTTTGCTCTCTCTGTGGCATCAGACAAGTTGTGGAAAGAACAAAAACTCTTAGTTATCAACAGATTATTTCTTGGCACAATTTTAATCCATTCTTTCTAAAGAGAATCCTCACCCTTTTTCCCCCACCACCTTCGTGGACACTCTGGAATGTGTGTATTAGGCAGAGCCTTTTGTCCTGCTTGATCTCTTTCTTCCCTCGTCACCTTGAACTTGTCAACTGATATGTTTCAGTGAATTTCTAATTTTCAATATCTAGTCTCATAGTTCTTCAACTTCTTCCCCTCTTTTCTGCTGC